TTTTCAAGTTTTTATTTCGTACTTTGTAGGCATAATTAACGTGTAGGGTATACTCATGCCAAATTACAACTTTTTAATAGTAATACGATAACAGCTAAACCGTGAACAGGTTGACAGACATGGCGAAGCTATATGGGTTCCTTGTTGACTACGGAACTCTAAAAATATTCGAATAAGCTCCGAAACTACTGAACCTATTTTAAAAACTCTCACCTACAGGAAGCTATATCATACGCGGGTGACATAACTATAACGCGCGCGAAGTTGCGGGAAAACAGCTAGTGTTTGATACAACGAGACAGATCGCATATGCGTGCCCAAAAATATATATGACGATCAAATTTGATAAGTAGAGTGGAAAATTTTCAATAAGTTAACTTTCGCGCCAGCAATTATTTTGGGACCCCAGACGTGATTGCTTATGGGCCGATCTGGAATCGGTCTAGCAAAGGATGAGGGTCCTCATGGGGCTCTTCCGGCCCTGAGAATTATCTAAACTTCAGGTTGAACGCACCAAAATTTTTGCATTTAAATATTTCAATTCGTTAATATTTTTTATCCTTCTTTAAAAGCTCCAAATCAACAATTTTTGCAAAAACAATTTCGAAGATTTAAGTTAATATTAAATATTACTAATTTACGACTAACGACTTATGGATGTCTGTAAAAAAAGTCTGAAATAAAATGTTATTATTATTAATATTTATATATCAGTGCAGTGATGCGTCACTATTAACATAGGATAAAAAGTTAAATACATACCTTGTTGTGAAATATTTAAATACAAGAAATTCATAGATGTGATCGATCTGAAATTAAAATAACTTTCAGGGCCGGGAAAGTTCCTCATTGAACCCTTATCTTTTGCGATCTGTTTACGGATTCGCTTTGATGAAAAATCAAAGTTTATTATTCAAGTATTTTTAGTATTCTATGTCAGGGTTAATATTGCATAATGCTTTTTTCAATGCAGATGCTCATAAAGCGCTATTTTTTTAATCCATTGTAAACACCGAAAGAAAGTCTTTAAACACGTGTTAAATAAAAATGTACTGAAATCCTTTACTGCACACGTGCTTAAAAGTATTTTTTTAAAGAAATTAAACCCTCGCTACGCTCGTGTTTTCAATTTGGCCCTTATTCGTAAAACCTTACTTTCCGCACTCGTATCTTAAATAACTATTATCTTACCATCTGTCCAATAAATTATTTGAAGAAGAATGGACTCAAGAAATTAGATATGTACTTAATTAGATACTTTCGGTACCCAAAGTTTCGTCCTACATTGTGTTTTTGTTTATTTGCAGGTCGAACGAGAAATAGCTATAATGAAATTAATTGAACATCCCCACGTGCTTGGCCTCTCTGACGTCTACGAGAACAAAAAATATTTGTAAGTACACACCAATTTTCGGTTCATTATTTACTTTTACCTGTTTTAATTGGAAGTTTCTTCAGTCGTACAAAACCCGTTTCAAAAGCTAATCGAAATGAAGGAGTCTATTGTTTTTAAAGTTTTATATTTTTTTCAGAATCCTAGATGTTGGTGCCTTTGTTGTTTAGGATTTACATAATAACAAAACTTTAAAAGTGCCTACAGCTTGTCACTGAGCAAAATATGCAATGTCGTGTAACATTTATAAGGTATTCTTTTTACAGATATTTGGTTCTGGAGCACGTCAGCGGTGGGGAGTTGTTCGATTATCTCGTGAAGAAAGGTCGCTTAACGCCCAAGGAAGCGAGGAGGTTTTTTCGTCAGATCATCTCTGCTCTAGACTTCTGTCATAGTCATTCCATATGGTACGTTAATCCTCGAACAACTCCGTCGCGAGATTATATCATGATACCACGTTTAGGAAGTTTAATGTCGTGGCGTATAAGCGCATTCGGTCTCGGCAATCATCATCATCATTAGCCCTTTTACGTCCCCACTGCAGGGGCTCAGGCCTTCCTTATGGATGGTTAAGGAGCATTGGCCATGACCCTCCACGCTGGCCCAATGCGGATTGGAGGGTATTAACGACTGCATATGCAGCCGGGACCAACGGCTTAACGTGCCTTCAGAAGCACGGAGTAGCTCGAGATAATAATTTTTTGTTCACCCATCCCGTGACCGACCCTTGCGAAAGTGGCTTAACGACAACGATCGCGGACCGCGACGCTTATCCACTACGCCACCGAGCTACTCAATAACTTTCATAAAAGTTATTGTCTCGGCAATAACTTAATGAAATAATTTGTCGCACTAAAATTGTTCCATAGAAACATTAAGAACACGACTAAGGGCAACCCTATTGCAAAAGTAACTACCTAGTTATATATTAGTTATATTAGTACTTATATTAGTATTTATAACTAAAGAAAGGTATTGTGTGTTAAGGTATTATAAAGGAACGTATAATTATACCTGACCAGTAGGTAAGCAGGTTAGGAAAAGGGATTCAGCTCTAGGAAACGTTAAATTATTTACTTAGTAAGAATCCCGTGATATGACCTTAATGGTGAAGTTCCAGAAAAGCAACGACTACTTCAAAATTCTATTTTAATTCAGTGGTCAAACTTCTATTTTAATATGTATGCGGATTTATTTTTTTGTTTTAAGTGTATTTTTAATTATTTATTCTTTTTTATCAGTAGAGCAAGCAGTAAAATGTAACGAAATGTCGTCATAATATCGCTAAGATGTCGTATCCTATGACTAGAAACAAGGCTAGAGAGTGAGGCAGTCGCTCTGCAGGAGGCCTACGTCGTAGTTACACTTCAATCCATTTCCTTGACGTCGGATTGGATCAAAATGCATTCAACGTTCAATACTTTATTGTTAGATTCTGTGTATAATTTATACGCCGGGTTGAATCAAAATACCTACCTAATCCACGTTCAATAATGCACTACGTTCAATCAAGTATCCAACGTTGAATGCATTTAGATTTAAACTGATGTCAAGGAAATCTATGTACGCACCAACTTAAGTGTTATGTGGGAGGCCTACGAGCCCACATGAGTTATGGACCGCAATCCCTATGTTATACTATCCATTATAAAGACCTAGGCCTTCTAGCTTTAAAAATTGCCTTCATTTTGCAGCCACCGTGATCTCAAGCCTGAGAATCTCCTTCTAGACGAAAGGAACAACATCAAGATAGCAGACTTCGGTATGGCATCGCTACAGCCAGCTGGCTCTTTGCTGGAGACGTCTTGTGGAAGTCCGCATTATGCTTGTCCTGAAGTCATAAGGGTAATTTCGCATCAAAATAATTTGAAGCCCAAAACTTGCCCAATAAGGAATTTAACACGGGGTCTTTTATAAATTCTTAAATTGAAATTGTAAAATTTACGTAGTTTTTAAATAAACTTTGAATATTTAAAAATTAGGTACATTTGATTGTTGAATGATGTAAACAGCAACACATTAAATGAAAAAAAGGGTTTTTTGCTTCTGTTTTTGAACTCATTTTGAACTCAATTTTTAACAAATCTTGAACTCAATTGCCATCGTGTTCATTAAATTTGATTGAAGTGGCTTTTGGCGCCATGAAATGCTGGATTTAACATATAAAAAGTATCTTGTGTTTTATCTATGGTTATATTATAGAATGAAATCTGGATATAAAATAAGATTTCATGTTAATTTAACATCAGCGATATGCAATATATTGCCAGGACATTGAAGCAATAAGGGCGAAATAACAACAACACATTGCCTTGAGCAAAGGAATTTAATACATACACACGATTATCATATATTACTACAACAGTACCTTAAAGGAAAAGTATATATTAACAAATGTAATATTACAAACAAAACTCTAATTTACATAATATTATTGATAAACACTTCACGTTTTGAGATTGTCAGGTTATGCCAGATGCATTCTATCCTATCGTTTTTCTCGAGCAAATTCCTCTTATTCTCCAGAAAGTCTAGAGTAAAATGCAAAAAATGAAAATGCAATTTGAATATCTATAAATAACTTCTAAAGAGTTTATTATAGAATATACGATATCACTTTATTTGTTAAGGTCGTATAAGAAATCACATTCCATAGGAATTTGTATAATTACATCAAAATGTAAAGAAAAATAATTGGGTCTACATGAAATTATCGTTAACTTTATATAAGAGATAACAGGAATAAAAGGAAAGAAAATATCAGGAATAACCCAGTTTTAATTTTCAAATTATATTAATTCCGCCATCTTGAAAGTGTTTTTATCTTAAGCGGTAGGTCTTTTTCGTTGGATATATTAGACTCGGCACATATCTTGCAGAAAAGACGTTTCTAGCTACGAAAATATGGTTCATGCGTCTAGTGTGTGAGTCCAACCTTGTTTGTTTTAAGTCGCGCGACCTATGAGACGTGACGCATTCGCCAGATATGTGTCGACGATTATACAGATACTTACAACTTTTACGTGAGCTTATCAAAATATTAGCATAATATAAAAACTAATTAAGTACATACATTAAAGAACAACATAATGTCAAGTAGTTAGAAATGTAGATTGCCACAAATGTACACTACAGACGCCAACCATAACAAAAAGAAATTTAAACCTAGTCATAAACGCTAGTCGAAGAGTCGTTGCAAACTGACGTAAAATCGTCGAGGATCTTATGGAGGTATGCTTTAGTATGCGACGGAAAGGTCAAATGTCATATATTTTTTGTCAGTTCTCATGTTCCGCGACTGACGCAATCCATCATCGGTTAGGTATGCACAGACCCTAATAAGAAATTAATCCTATTACAGACTAAAAAAGAAAGAAAGCTACAAGTAAATCTATTTTAAATACAAAAATTATTCTTACAAAAAAAGATGTTACTAAACAAACAATATATTCTAAAGTTTAATCACAGTCAATAAAAAAAAACAGATCTTTAAACAATGTGTATGAAAGTCTTGATATTTGAGCAAAATTAGGAAAATATTTCAGAGTTCAAAGCCTATTATTCCCAAAATCATCCACTGGAAACTCGACGGGGGCAAACTGGAAGTAATCTAGACATTTCTGACAAAATTTAAGAACGTCATAGAAATGCACCATAATATAGTATTTTTTTTAAAGTCTAACAAGAAAAAGTGGAAAACTCTGGCCCAAACGTACAAATGGCGTTGGAATAATACTTCTCTTAATATTTTCTTACATGGAGTTCAAACAATGTTGTCAATTTATGAGATAAATATTGAAAAGATTAACTTGAGAAAAATCAACATAATAATAGTTACATAAACAGCTTCGTTATTATAAGACAATCATCATTTTTACTTCAAAAAATTAAAACATATTGTTTTTTATTATGAATCCACTTTGATAAAGTACCTAATCTTCGTAATTTTATTTCAAATATTTCATCTGTGTTTTGTTCTTATTAATTTTAATCAATCAATAGGAATTAAAAATGAAAACTATGAATTTATATCTCTATAAATTGTGTCCTCTTAAAATTGAAAATGGTCTTAATTGCTCTCTAAATAGATTTAATCGTCATCAACCCTTTGCTTCTTGCTAGTGTTGGAAGGTGTTTGAGGAGGAGAACAACCGGTATCTCTTCTCTTACCAGAATGTCTTGCACATGAAGTACCCGTTCCAGAGATTCTTGTCTGAGAGTCCCTATTGGGTGAAAACTGCTTCAACATTTCAACGTCATTGAAAATAACTTGAGCACCTCCACCACACGTGGGAACAATATCACCTTTGTACAATTTGGTTTCCAGTTCTCCATCTGTATCTTGCTCTTGTGATATCAAACAATATTTTGATGTCTTCGAATTAGCTATATCTTTTACAGACTTCAATTTATTCACAACTTTACTATGTGATATGTTCGGTTTCATCACTGTTCCCATTGGCACAAGTTTGTTAGGAGCATGTTCAACCCAACCACGACCATCAGCTGATAAAGACCTCTTATGTCTTGGATTGGCGACGGCGACGCCACGCCTCGAAGATGCTGGTGTATCTCTTGTTTGAGGAACAGAACTGAATGGTGTCAAGAGATGTGCAGGTAAAGCTCTAGGTGTCGACCCAGGAGTAAAATCTCTACCAGTTTGTGCTGCTACATCACCCATACTCTTTGGTATAACAATATCATTGTCTCCTCTGTCTAAATGCAATGCTTCAGCGATGATCCTCAAACGATTCTCTTTCTCCTCTATAGCATTTTTCAATCTCTCCTTTTCAGTGTGTATTTCCTTTGCTTTTTCATGTTCAGCAGCAATTTTGTGATTATATTTCCTTTCTAGAATCTTTTTCTGTTTCTCTTTTTCAAGCTTGTTCTGATTTAACAGTAGCTCTTTTTCTTGAAGTTCACGCTTCAAAGATGATGAATACTCAGTCAACTCAGCAAGTTTACGTTGGTGTGTCAGAGAAGCGTTTTCTGTAGCAGTCAAGCGTTCTTCTAGTGCTCGCACGCGACGTTCTGCAGCAGCTAACTGACCTCTTAGCGATGCATTTTCACTCCTTACTTCCAATGAGTCTTTTTCCATTTCCAATAAAGCAGACCTTAGCCTTTCATCTTTAAGAGCTTTACTTCGTTTTAAAGCTTCTCTTCTACTCAAGCGCATTTCTAAATGAGCCATTAGTTCTTTGATAATGTGTGATGCTTGTGAACTGTTAAGTTCCAAACTAGGGAAATCAGGTCCAAGGCTGTATACTAAGCCCAAGTCTAACTCTAAATCTTTAGCTTCAGGACGGATGATATTATCTCTTGCTGTTGTAAACAACCTATTTGCTTTGCGTCTGCCACTCATAAGGCCAATTGAGGCAGCAACATTATGGATTTGTGGCTTAGTCACTTCAACTTCAGAAGCCATTTCTGCAAATCTCATCACTTGTAATGTTTCATCATAATCTTCTGCTCGAGGGTTAGCACAAACAATCATACGAACTTGTCCTTCTCCCTCAAAGAAATTTTTAAATAAATGTGTGATCTTGGACTCACGATATGGGACCATAGATTTCATATCACCAGTTTGGTTCTCTCTTAAAATTTCTAAGCAAGTCCTCAACGTCATGAGAGACTTATTAATATTGCCAGCTTCTCTTAATCTTTGACCAGTATTTTTTGTACGATTAGTACGTTCACTGCCTGCTAAATCAACTAAACTCAATTGACTAATTGAAAGAAACTTCTTGTTTTGTATAACGGCTTCACCTATTTCATCAACTGGCGCCTGCACCAATCTTATTGTAAATACAGAGTGACTACGACTCGATTCCGCATTTAATGTTGTATGTGCCATTCTTTTCCTTTTCAAACCTAAATAGAATGCTTCAAATGCTTCTTCAGCTGATTTTATTTCAATTTCAGTGACTCCATGGACATACATATTATGTGCCGCATCTTCCCTTATAAGTTTCACTGGTAGATTTTTACTTATTGGTCCATCTTCAAGCAAATCAAACACACTGTTATTATAGATCTCAACATAAGTTACAAATACTGCATACTGATTATCTTCATTGATACCTTCTACTTTAGTAATATCAGTAGAAGACATTGCTAAATCAGGGTTTGAATTATTTTTTCTGTTACTTTTTAACTTATGAAGTTCTTGCTGTCTCTCTAACATGGCTTCAGCTTCTGTTTGTATATCGAACATATTCATTTTATCTGGTTTAAACACATATTTATGTGCTTGAAAGTCATTTATTGTTTTGAAAATAATATTCAAAGCTCTAGGTAAAATACCACAATTTTGAGGTTCACCAGTCATTGTGAATGTTTTACCGCTACCAGTTACTCCATAAGTAAATAATAAACCGTTTTTACCTTTTATTAGACCCTCGACTATTGGTAACGCTACTTTATCGAATACTTCTTGTTGCGAAGTCTCTGGTGGGAATACCTCTTTGAAAGTATATTCCATTGTCTTGACATTCTCGTTTCTGTAGTTTATAGATGAGCTTGGAGGCGTCAGAAGTACTGTCGTAGGTGATATTATCTTCATACACGCTATATCAGTATCCTTTTGCATAGGTCGCAGGCGACAGTAAACATGTACTGGATCTCTATCACCAGTATATAGATTTTGCTTACTTCTAGCCGGCGTCCTCATTTCATTCAACCTCTGCTTCGATTTTGCTGATTTCATGGTGGTTTTTCAAGATACACTCGCGTTATACACCTTTTTCGATAAATAATATTTTCGACGGTTGGTCTAGAAATCAAAGCAACGGTCGTTCGAAAATTCCAATGCAATACGACCAAATTTAGAAACACTCCATTAGCCAGTCAAATACATAGCAATACCTATTAAAAAGTTGACAGCGGTGACCACTTAAATTAAGTGGGATAATAACTATTTGACCTCCAAATATACTGACAGTTGACAATAAGGAAATAATGTTGCCAGTATATTTATAAATCTTCCCTTGATATATACAAAAAAATGTTACTTGGCTTGGCTTACCTCCTTGTTAAACTTTTCATACTTTATATTTTACTTTCAAAACTATTATATCAAAATTATTGGTTTCTTCTAAGAGGAACTCACACACGATGTCTTATTTGCGAGAATCACGTCGTTAATAATACCTGTATAATATTTACCATACGAAGGTGCATATGGTATTCGGCTTCGGCTTGATATAAAAAACCTGTAAAAATTAGACGTTTCTTGGTTGTTCTTTTTAATCTGTTTAATAAAGGCTGATTATATTAATAATATTATGACAATGTGATTTGAATTAATTTTTTTTTTAATTTGCCCCATCGAAAATATATTAGCATTATTATTAACGATAAGAAGATATTTGTCAAAAATTACAGTAGTATATTTTTCTCCTATAAGCTTAGGAAATATTTGTACACGGGCATCATTTCCTAAAACGTTCCGGTTTATTCAGAATCATCATGAAATTAAATAAATTAAGTATTTAAATTTTATACCAAAAATACACTTTTTTATTGAATAACTTATTAATATTAATTATTCAATTCAATAGTTGTTATAACTTATAATTATAAATAAACGAAAACAACTGGCTTGCATGTCACGAAAGTGAATATAAAATTTTTGAATCGTAACGCATCTGTCAAAATTTAAATTTTAAGTTATGTATTTGTTACAAAAGTTATGAAACATCCACAAGTGCAACGCCAAAATCAAAAAGAAGAAAAAGGTACATAAAATAAGATTTCTCATTTAATTATACTACAGGGTGAAAAATATGATGGTCGTCGAGCAGACGTGTGGTCTTGTGGAGTTATCTTATACGCTCTGCTGGTCGGAGCTTTGCCCTTTGATGATGATAATCTTCGTCAATTACTTGAAAAGGTGAGCTTATAAAATATATCCATGCTAATATTATAGAGAGGAAATATTTGATTGATTGTTTGATTGTATCGAATAGGCTCCGAAGCTACTGGACCTATTTAACAAAATTCTTTCACTTACATACTACATCATACGAGGATGTCATATACTATAATTTACGTGTTCGAAGTCGAGGGACAACGGCTAGTCCTATTATATATAACAATTTATTTTTGCATATCCATTTTGATCTTTACTGTAGTAATAAATTAACTGTGTTCCCACTTGTAGGAAGAAATAAATGCATGTTTTTATACCAATTATAATGGACAAAACGGTCAAGTAATAGAGAAATAGACTTGTTTCAATTTATAATATGAGCATAGATTTCTATTCAATCTAAAGTAATCAGAAACAGAATTTTGTAGTACCTATCTTGTATGTTTTGATTAATTGATTTGATTAACTCTAAAAGTTGTAAAAAAAATACAAATCAATACTAAACAGCTGTGTTACAAGGTTTCAACATAACTTAAGGGTCCATCCATAAACTACTTCACATAAAGATAAAAAATATACATGAGATTTGTGCAATGTGATTATAATCTTCTAAGCATATTACTGTCATATTGATACAATTACAGAGAGAATAAATCAGGTTAGATTTTGGGAACGGATATTGACAGACAAGACTCACTGATACAACTTTGTCAATATCCAGTCCACAGTATGCGTTGCTTTAAATTTAATATTTTTTTATTTATTTCAGGTTAAAAGAGGCGTGTTTCATGTTCCCCATTTTGTGCCACCCGATTGCCAGCAGTTACTGCGTGGGATGATTGAAGTTAATCCAGAAAAAAGAATGACAGTAAATGACCATGATCACATTTATTTATTATATCATTCAATTGATAGCCAACCCTTGTGAAAGTTGCATAGCGACAACAATAGGCTAGCTGACAACTTTTTTTTTATTATTTTATAAATAAATAGTTAATGAACTCTGAGAAATAATAGCATTTATGCAATTAATAGTTTTGGTGATATGGGGCTGTGTTTGTGGAACTACTGCTAGTCAGTTAAAAACTCTCCATACAAATTCAATGCACTAAGTGATGTCATATATTGCTACAGTAGTGAAAAACGTAAGGGCGTCTGGGCAATCTTTGTAATATCTTTGTTATTTGTGCGCTTATGCTATTATATTGAAAGATGTAACATTTTATGTAACTAATTTAACTCCATGTTTATTTTAGTATTTTTTTTTATTTTTTTAAGTTTTTGAAGTGTAATATTTTACAAATTAATGTCATTAAATTTATTTTGTTGAATATTTATAAGTTAAAATGATTCATATATTCCGAACATATAACAGAAACCTAAATTTTCACTTGAAGGACACAAGCCTATTGTGGGCTACAGCACTTATCCACTACACCACTAAGCTTACATATATATAGGCCTAATAATTTGTCCAGTAATCTCTAGAAATATTTACCACTTCATCAATCTTTTCAATTTTATTTTATATTTTTCTTAAATACTCATTCTATACTCATTCTTGAATATTATCTTGGACCATAGTCCTTGTCAATTCAAATAAGCCCAAACTTGATGATGTTAGATTAAACAGCCCAAACCATTGGCACAGTGTAAATATAAGTAGACAGTGGTGAAACTGCCTACAAGCGTTCGAAATCGCACGCACACATAAACACGCTCACCGACGAGCCGCCTAAGTGGACCTAACAGGACGCTCAGTAACGCGTAGCGCGTCGAGATGAGGCGCACGTTATACGTTCCGCGATCGTATTTATTTAAAAAATGAAGGAAAGATTAAGGAAAGGAGTAGGCTTATATGAAATAAAAAATAAGATTTTTGTATGATCTGGAAATATATTTTAACCGCCCAGTTTTCGCATATGTTATTTCTATATCATGTGGTGATAATAGAATAATATAAGTAGATATCACCGCCTGAACAAATGTGTATGTATATTGTTTGTTTGTTAATTAGTTATTACAATTCGATTGATTGATAATGTCAGAACTCCTGTTATATTTTGTAAAAGAAACATTCAAAACGACAACCCTATGGTTTCAATGGAGCGTAGGTATTTATTTTATCAAATAGGCTTAGTTTCTATACTGTGTCATTCTTATACTGTGCCATTGGTGGTTAAAATGAAACACAAAAAACAAGTCTTCAAAAAAGGAAATATTTATTCTAGCTGGCTGAAATCACAAGGCATCCATGGGTAACAGCTGGTGGCCGAGGCGAGTTAGAACAGGAGTTGCCAATGATGGAAGTCGTGCAGACGAGGGTGCTGCCCTCTGCTGAAGCTATAGACCCAGATGTGTTACAAGTAAGTTGAGAATGGAAGCTGTGATTCCAGGATTTAAAAATATTATTGAAATACATATTACGATTTTTTTCATGTGTCCTTATTTATTTTTAATAAACTAGCAAATGATGTGAAGAAATTTACTAGCGGGGAGTTCATAAAAAAATACCTACACTCGTATCTATAATCGAGAGAAATAATTACTTAAGAAAAAAGTATAACTTAGCATTTTTAACCAATAGATGAGAATTTTAATGAAATAAGAACTGTTTATAGCTAATAATAATAATAATATTAATGTTCTTAATTCATTCAAATTCTTATTAATTTGTTAAAATATATTTGCATAAGTAATTACTTTTACTCGATTATAGATATAGGAGTCAAGCTTTTATTAAAAGGTACAAACACCAGCAATCGCTACAAGTTTGTTTTGGGCCGCCGCCACCAGGTCTCCACTTTGGGTGCTCAGTAAATATACCCTGAAATATAAAGATTTAGAAAGCTCTTACACATTTTGGTCATGATCTCTCGGTTCATTATAAGTATAGGTTTGACAGAACTATTTCTTATTTCTAGGAGTGGTTTTACCTTGCAAACTTTTCAAAATTACCTTGTGTCATATATCAATGTAATATTATTATTTTTTAATATTTATTCGTGTATTTCACAGGCAATATGCAGTTTAGGATGCTTCAAACAGAGAGATAAACTTATACAAGAATTATTAAGTCCACAGTGAGTAATTTTCATATCAGTTAAAAAAAAAAAATTTTAATTTAGTTTATTTAATTTTAGTTTATCAAGAAGTATTAATATGAATCGTTATTATTATGGTTACTTTTAAATTTATATAGTGCAATTCGAGTTGAATTTCGTCAGTTTTTCTTATGTTGTGTGATTCAATAAAGTATGATTATGGTTTGAGCGAACATTTGCAAAAATTTTTTTGTGAATTTTTGGTTCTTCCAGACTTGATTGACTTACTTTCTATTGATTTGTGGTCACAAAGAAAGCTGACTACACGATTTAGAATAATGTCTATGTTATTTTTTTTTATATTATTTTGCTTTTGTCAAGAAAAAATTGCATAAAAATACGATAAATTCAAAATGCGCAAACGTAATGCTATTGTTAGATCGGAATATTGGATGTGAGGATGATTAAGGAATATTGATAGTCTACTCATAGGGATGTCATTGTTACAAAAAAAAAATCGGTACTAAAACATAAATATATTACGTAGCATAATTTTGCTACAATAGATTATAATAAAATGGTGCTTTAGGCTTTTCTTTTTGTTTCACTAATTCGGTAAATTAAATGATTAATTACAAAAAAAAATTGTCAAGCGATTTAAAACAATTAAATAATGAATTAATATTCGAAATCATGTCATAACCGTATTCATAGGTCATTGACGTCATTCATCATTAATTTTTGTTACGAAATTTTAGTTTTTCTATTTCTATTTATTTTTTACATTTATAAACGATTCAAGTATAAATAATATGACATTCCCTATTATAGTGTTGTTATTATAATATATTTCGTATGTTGATCAGTCACAATACAGAGAAGGTGATATACTTCCTGCTGTTGGAGAGAAAGAGACGGCGGCCCGCGAGAGACGACGAGCCGCGCCCCCCCGCGCCCGCTGCCCCCGCCGACCCCCCGCGCAAGCGGCTCGACACCTGCCGGGTAACAAATTATGCGAGTTAATTGAGAATACGATTGGGATTGATAGGGATAGCTGATTAGACTTCATAAGTTCATATATGGTAACAAAAAAAAGGAATATAAAAAACAGTTCGTATGAATTCCTCCATTCTATATTCGAAAAATATGAACCATTTAAAGTTATAAAAATTTGTCAAAACAAATTTTAAGTCACTAATTTGGAAAATTGTACTCTTTGAAAACTTGAAAAGAAGAACATTATTTGAAAAGAATTACATTATTTCTCAGACTTTAATGAACTATTTATTTATAAAATAAAAAAAGTCCTCAACTAGCCTATAACATATCTCTTTTCTGGATTTAATAATAGATAGAACTTAGTAAACACTTCGTAGGTTTACATTTTTCTTCGCTGATTTTTATTTATATGATTCAATTACATAACATTTTTTCGCTGAGTGAATTGACTTTCAGAAAGAGTATATCGCGTTACTCAAAATTACAAATTACGAAAAATGAATAATAAAAGGAAATTATATTCTTAATAAATAAATGCTTAAAAAATCCACTTGGTCCCATGACCTTTTGGATGTTCGAGTCCGATCTCAGGGTGCAGGGACCAAGTGCATTTTTTAAGTAGTTTTCATTTAGTTATTTTTCAGTATATCATTGTGACAAAAATCAAAGACAAACAGTTTGGATGCAGACACCGTGGACAAAGTAAACGGTGTGATATGACGCACCGTTACAGGCTCACTCTTGAACGCAATCTCCATAATAGTAAATTTCAATCCAATACAAAGAAGATTTTAGTTTTCATCAAATCTTAGCTCTTCTTGAAACAGACTCAATCTTACTCAATGTCAATTAGTTAATTCAACAACCACGCAATATTGAGACAATGGCCGCTAGTGTACCAAATCAAGAGTACGAAACGTCACAATTGCAATGAGGAAGTATTTAAAAAAAAATATTAGTTCCCGAAATCAAACTAGATGTCGCCACTCTACGTTCTTAATTTATCCATGACAACCCTTCCGGTTTTTTTCATGTTTAAAAGTAAATTAGGTTTCAAAACTCAATAAACAACTCATATTCTATTTGTACTTTTTCGTATTTGTATTTTATTGATATCTAAGTTTCGAACTTTTCAAATTTCAGTTTTTTAATATGTTTGTTAAAAGAAACGGAAATGACTGTCTTTGGTCCATTCGGTTCCTGTAAAAATCAACTTCTGCTAGAGTCGCCATCTAGTGGAGGTGATTTTATAGTGCTTTCGTTTTTCAAAAAAAATTTCTCATATCGGCCGATACATAGATTGCGTTCAAGAGTAAGCATGCAGGGCTGTCATTTTAGTACAGACAGCAAAGAAAATTTTATTAGCCAAATATATTTTGCATTCTTTTAACATGATCGATATTCAAAATGGACTTTCACCACACAAACATACAAAAAGCAGAGTTATAGACTCTGCTTTTTGTTTAGAAAAGAATTAGAAAATAGACTTATAGATTTGTTATATTTTTGGATATATTATAATTGTTGACGCGACTTTATCCAGCATTAATAAAGTACGTTTTCTAAATTTCGCCTTTTTATGACGATTAATCAGGCCAGCGGTTCTCGGTTCGTAAAGGCTTAGAATTATTCATAAACCCAATGTCAGTAAAATGTATTCGCTAATTTTTTCGTTTATAATGTTAATAAGATAAATTTTTTTGTCCATAGGTAAACGGTCAATCGGCCCATTTTGGCCAGATAAGCGAAGGTTCGCCGATCACACCGCGAAGATCACAGTTTAGGTAACAAAATTGTATATTACACTTGTACTGTCGCCACCACGTTAGGTTACCGCAAAAGGTCAAACTCCATTAGATTATAGTCTTATCCTATAGTTGAATGCAAATTTGATTTTAGAAAGAAGAAGAAATTTTAAAGACCACTCTAAGGAAAGAATCATTTATTTAGTAATAACATATCTTTTTTATCTCATGCCTGATGCCAATCAATGCCGTGATATTTTCTTTATAAATTACGTTTAATTTGTTTTTTCATTTAAACAAAGCCAATTAATTGTAAATACAAAAAATAGTGAAGCAACTGTTCAATTGAAGAAATTTGACCGTTTCGGTTAACCTGATGGGCTGTTAACTGTACTAGAAACATATTAATTGTAATTAAAGGGAAGTAGCATATTTAATATAAACATAATTATGCAAAAAACGATAAAAATTAATTGGTAATATTTTTACTTCAGTATTCACACCCAATCTTATCGTTTATATGCATTTTTTTTTAAATTTAACTTTAATTGAATATATTTTAGCATATTATAATTGAATTTGAATAGCTCGGTGGCGTAGTGGATTAGCGCCGCTGCCCGCGATCGTAGTCGTTAAGCAACTTTTGCAAGGGTCTGTCACGGGATGGGTGACCAAAAAATTATTATCCTGATCTATCCGTATCCGTATCCGATCCGTGCTTCGGAAGGCACGTTAAGCCGTTGGTCCCGGCTGCATTTGCAGTCGTTAATACCCTCCAATCCGCATTGGGCCAGCGTGGAGGGTCATGGCCCATCCTCCTTAACCAACCATAAGGAAGGCCTGAGCCCCTGCAGTGGGGACGTAAAAGGGCTGATGATGATGAATATATTTTAATTAATTGATACCTTAGACCAGATTATGTGCATCCGGGGGGTAATTTAGCGTGTTAATTACGATTATATCATCGTAGCATTCATTTGCTTGCCCTTGACTCGATACTACAATATGTATTCTTTTTCCATACTCTATCAGACGTTATCTCAACATTCATTTCTAACAGTCTAACCATCTTCTTCTTTAAATTATCTTCTAGATTCAAGCTCATACGTTTTTTTTCTATCACTGGCTCTACTTTAAAACTTCCCCTGATTTTGAAATTCATCACTTTGTCCATTCTTTTCATTCCACACTTCCAACTTAACATACAAATATAGAATATCAAAATTTCTCAACAAATATAATCTGTTCATATGGAGTCGATAAATATTATGATTATGTCTCGGAATAGCGACCGTCGCTTAATTATCGCATTCTGTATGACGGGCGATAGTTATAGCAGTGCGCGTTAATTTTTGTGGTACTGGCCATGCAGGTGTTGTCAACATGGGTAGTTTGGAAAATAAGGGTACGGAGTGAAGTTGCTATTGTCTTGTTAAATCTTATCTTTCAATATATTGATTTAGGTGATTCAGTCAAGCGATTGAATATTTAATATATTCATTAATTCTAATACAAGACATACAAAAATCGATCTTCTTTTAATTTGCTGTCGGCCACTAACACAATGCACATAATTTAATGTATAATCAACTAAATACAAAAAGAATTTTTATTCCATCTATGGGTAGAAATAAATTAGCGGGCCGCAACTTGTAATGAGATAAGAAACCCTGACTTTTTTTATTGACTCTCCATTAAACAGACTATATCTGGTAAGTAGAAAAAATTTCAGTCACTATTTCTTCCATCAAATATTTCCTAATTTTTTAAGAGAAATTGGTTGGTATATACATAGTCGGGAACTCCCTCCCCACCCTCGATTACATAATTCGGTCTATTGTATGTGATATGTAATGGGGAATAATGCACTGAGGGCAGACTTGCCCGCAGCAGGTCAGCATCAAGTCGACGAGCTGAAGGTAGAAGCTCGCCGCAGTTACCAGCCAGCCCACCAGGTAACATAATAATAATTATAATATAGATATTGTAGTTGATTTACACGTGAGTAAGTAGATAAGTAGATTTTTAACTTAATTTTAAGCGATTAAGTACGTGTAAATACACATAAGTAATAAGCTAAAATTAAGTCAACTATTCTTAATGAAAACTGCTTAAAAATTCGACTTTGTCCATGGTAGTCTGAGATGGGATTCGTACCCACGACCTTTCGCAATTCGGGCGACTGCTTCAGTATTTTCGAGTATAAAATTACCAAATATAATAATTTAATGAACTACTTATAAGCTTATGTATAATTACAATTAAAGATTAATTTACTGCTTATTTTTATGTTTACACGTTCTTAATCACTTAAAATTAATGCCCGTTTTCACTAAACTTAGGAATTGCCCAAATCTGACGCTTAAATATTTAGGCATTGTCTAAATAAATGTCAAGGAGTCACCTAAGGACTATGGGCAACGCTTATGTAAATTTAAGACATGCATTGTGCATCGCCCAGCGCTGGGCATTTGCGTAATGTGACATATACATTTGGCCTTAGTGGATGTGTCAAGGGATAAAATCAATTTAGTAAGTTGGAATCAAGGAATAAATATATTATAATTAAGATATAAACAATGAAAAAGTTTGAATTTTCAGATTTTTCACATATGGACTTTGACTCACGTTTATAGAAGGCCACGTATTATTTTTCTTGGTTTATTATTTTAAAATATACATTGTTGTCATTGTCTTTTTACTTGTAAAGGCAACTAACGTGACATTGGGGAAATTGTGTAAACACAAATAGGCCATACATTAAAAATATATAACCAACTGAAGATGCAAAACCATAGTCAAACTTTGTAATAAAAAAGTGAAAACGGGTATAAGTTAAAAATCAACATGCTGCTTATCTACTTAATAACGTGCAAACAGCACCACAAACTTTGCTTAGATTCAGTAAGTGATAATAAATATGATGAAATAACATCTACCAATCCCAATGATAACCAAACGTTCGATTAAAATTGATAGTGAGCCTCTTTTGAAATAAAATTCATAATGAACCTCTTTTGTAAGACACATCCGTTGTATCTTATTGTACCAAAATTAAAAGAAAGTAAGCGCTTCTGTTAAGTAAATCTGAAACAATGGCGGTACCACAACATCCAGAGGTCAGAGACAACAAAAAAAAATTTTGCTCATTGACTATACCGGTAATCAAAGATGGTACCTCAGAGATGGTAACAAGTAGTCGTGGAGGTGAAAATTATAAGAAATAGACAATTTGTACTGTTAGCTAAACCAGTTAGATTTTATTTTAGTTTAGTTTAGATTTCACAGTCACTGAGTCATAAACCGTTTTGTCTCATTTTTTTATTAAACTTAAAGAATTAAAACTATTTTCAATATGTAAAGATATCTGAGATGAATAAATGATTTTATTATTATTTTATTATTATTATTATATATGGTTGTTTCATGCTAAATATAGTTTCAAATTTACTGCAATTTCTTTTCTCACTAAAAACGTAGAATTTGAAATAAAGTACGCTTGTTTATATAGAGAAATACTCGAGATGGGATTCATGCATTGGCCCGTTTATGGATTACGGGTCATAAATTTTATCTAAACTGAAGAAATAATTTATTTACTAATAATTTTGTTACTTTATAATTACGTTTAATGGCAGGGCACACTCCTCATCGCGTATCGTCATTAGGCGGAACGCCTGCCACTCCAGGGTCACCATTAGGTAACTTAACACTAATTACATCTTATAATAAAATATTTTTGAACAAGAAAACACATACTAGCATCATCAACAACGAGCGAATTGATTTCTTATTATTATTACCGACTAGGAATGTAATTTTTTTACCAATATTTGTACAGCGTCATCTACCGACGTTAGGGGAACTAATAATTCTAATATGGTAATATTAGGCTCGATACAAATTCGATTCGGACTTGATGATGTATCAGGTTAAGGGTGTGTATGTCGTGGCCCGATAGTAGAATTGACTGTTTGACCTTGTCATTTTAATTCGTACGAGTAGCCTATTCGATACAAACAAACATAACATAATATTAGGACAGTAGACGTGTATTCCTTTTAAATAATTATATTACATATATGGAATTTAAATATAATCTGTATATCTCTAGCATCACCTTCAATAAGGGAGCATCATCATCAAAGAGCAAACTCGACTGGACCGACGATAAGTCTAAATATAAGTAAGTCCCACGTAATTCTATATATATATCGGTGACCTAAGAACATTAAAAGTTTAGTTTTAAATAAGTTAAACATTTATTTCAGTTCTATAAAAAAATAAGATTGTGGTTTAAAAAAATTCTGAAACTGGTATAAGTCACTCTGTAGCACAGATTAGACTCCATTCATTATAGCATTAGACAGAAGTTAAATAAGGTTCTTTTTATGCTATACTTTGTGACAAAATATCAATAATCATGTTACTCTTAAGATTGACGGCTAATTTGCTACACATCCACTTAAATACCAGCTGCTATACTTAACTGGTGTCATTTAAGCTATCTATTAAACAAGTTTATTGGTATTTGACTAAATTAAATGATTTAAAAATTGTTACAACAAAAAGTGTTCATCTTAAAGAACCTAAAGAAGCAGGGTTGGATAGTTTCGGCACGATTCTCATTTCACTATAACTCTACCAAATTTAAAACGTTGCCTAATCCCTTTAAACGTTTCAGCAGTACAGCTTTTTAATTTTGTTAGACTATGATGTATTCATAATTGTCGAAATACGTAATCTGGGATTGTCATCCATTGTAATGCTACTGCCTTTCTTGTTGTTTTGCCGTTTTCCGTGATTAAATTGTTATTGTTTTATTTTGTTAATTATAAAATAATACAATAAATAAATTCTATTCTAATTATATACACTTAGAAATAGAATTTAACAAAACAACAGTTTTAGTTCCATGTTGGCTTGGGAGTAAAAGATGAATTTAGAAAATCAATCTCAACTCAACCCCGAGGTATCGTTAAAAATGAAAAATTTCCCAGCTCTTTCAGACTGCCTAACATTCAAAGTTTCAACAAAACTATAATATTTATTTTTTAAATTTATCTTCAATATAAAATGTTCTGCACTGCTGCTTCTAAGACCCTCTTTTTCTAATGTTATTATGAATGGAGTATAAATACATATGTACAGGTTAAGGGTTGTCAACCGCGTTTTCAATTGTCAAAATAATGAAAGTTATTATGTTATAGTATAATAGAGTATAATTATACTTGTTAAAATTTATTATAGAATGACATTAAAGCATACCCAAATAACAGTTACAAAGAGTTACAATTTAAAGCTTGGTTTGGAGTGTTGTTCAACAGAATTAGCGTCATTATCTTTTGAAATAGTTTATTTTCCAAAATTAATTTTAGAAAACGAAACTACATTGAGTTTTACAAAAAAGTCTGTGTGTGTATATTTGTTAAGCGTTCTTTTTTGATTGCTTGAAGCAAGTTTTAAAGTAAATTTTAACTGTGTAAAGTTAATTGTGTGAATAATATTCGATTAGTAAGGTATTTTACAGTTATTATTATTCTTATTTTAGGTGGGGAACCAGGCGAAGCTGTAATTATAATAAACGAGTCTCCTATAATGGGATCTTCTGTTGCACATAGGCCACACAGTCCTTCACAGTCAAGTAGAGGTGAATGTTTTTTTTTTATTGAAAAAAGGAAACTAGTCACTACTTTCTCTTTTCTGCAGACTATTATATCAATCTTGATTGTTTTACACGTCAGCATTTCAGGTTAATTAGAGTTAGACAAGTAATTTTGATATTTATCATTAATGAAATAAGGTTTAAAATTAATTGAAATAATGCGATAGCTTTTTTAACCTAATATACTGGTGACTGTACGAAAACTATTATAAAATATTACTATCAGTAGTGAAATTAATACGTATATAAGATTTTTTCTTTAAATTACTAATCTTACTCTGACAATTCAAAACTATTTAAAATAAAGTTGTTTTGTCGACTATATCGTATCACATCAAGATCATGATATCATGATGTATTAAATAATTAGGACCATTTTGTATATTGCTCTTGTTTCAACTGTCACTGTCACTTTGATTTTGAATGAGATTCGCGCCAAGATTCCGCCCGTAGGGTTGTCAATAGTTGTAAATTTGCAATCTGTACGTTGTACTGCTAAATATATCAATTGAAATAAAACAAGTATTTATCGGTAATTATGTTAATTTTAGTCAGAGAAAGGTCATCTCTCCCGGGGCCAACGAGTTCAAGTCAATCGCCGGCGCAACCGTCTTTGTTCCCCAATTTGGGCACAATCACAGGTAGGAAAACACAAATAGAACCTTGTAATGTTAATGTTTTTTTATATGTCGTTGTATTCCAATATATTAATCTATTTTAATATACACGCATTATATTGCGTACAGGTTTTTTTTTGTTTGTTTTTATATTATTATAATCTTAATAATAAAGTCTTATTGTCAATGTTTTTACATATGGATAATTTAAGAATGAACTATCTTCTTGATAGGCAAATAAGAAGTAAGTAATAAAAATAGTGTTGTATTATCTGTTATTTGCACGTTTACTACGTAGTCAATGCTATCTATACCAATGAGATAAGGATATAATCCGAACGGGGCATAAAATAAGGACTAAATTGTCTTAAAGTAATCATCTGATAATGTCATTGTCACACTGCACCTGAGATGCTGGCTGGGTATCGGATCGTGATACGGTGTAGATACACACACATGCAGACGTTAAATTACTTTGTTAATACCTATGTAGCTTGGATCACTGTACCAACAAATTATTAATATAGTCTTATAAAACAAATTAACAAAATTAAAGGTTTCCGCAAATTAGTAATTGTATTATTGTTTATTATGTTTGAATTAACTCGGTGGCGTAGTGGATAAGCGCCGCGGCCCGCGATCGCAGTTGTTAAGCAACTTTTGTGAGGGTTGGTCACGGGATGGGTGACCAAAAAATTATTACCTTGAGCTACTCCGTGCTTCTGAAGATACGTTAAGCCGTTGGTCCTGACTGCATTTGCAGTAGTCAATACCGTGCAATCTAAGAAAAATAAATATTTTATAAACCTATGCATTGGTGGTTTTATAGGGGTGCCGGCGGGCGCGGGGTGCGCGGGGAGTGCGGGTGCTTCGGCCCCGTGGCGGGTCAGATTAGCCACCATCAAGAATTCCTTCTTAGGATCACCGAGATTCCACAGGAGAAAAATGCAAAGTGAGTGACCACTATCACTATGTATTTATATTTATAATTAATGATAGTATGATTGATGTAATTAATGATAGTATGATTGATGAAATTAATGATATTAGCTTTGAATATTTGCACGCCATTATATTGGCTTAAAATATAAGGGAACTTTAATTTATTTTTACTGATTCAACTCTATATATATTGGTATAAAAAGATATTTGTTACTAGCTAAACTTCGCTGTGACTGAGACTAGATGTATAAAAGTTATAGTACTATGAAAATTCTAAAAGAATTTTATATTGCATTCACTCCTATATGTTTATCATGACTAATCATTACTACAATTGTTTTATCATTACTACAATAATAATAATATTTATTCCAGAAAAAACTACATATTTTTATTTTTACAATTCCGTCACATCTGTGCTTGAATTAGATTTATGTAACAAATCTAATTGTACTTCTCCCTATTTATACGATTACTAACCTAATAACAATTATAAAAGTTACTTGTATTTCTACTTATTTTTTTTTTCTGTATCGTTAGAGGGAGAATGATCGATTACTACTAATAGCAGTAATTATCGATTCCACGACGGGCATCCCTGTCTGTCAGTTAGCTGTCACTGTCACTTTGACATTTCATTAGTTTTCTTGCCAATATACTCCCAGTTTTTCATTCTTATGAAAACTATTGGAATCGACTTTCCTTTTTTTTAGATATATCAATTGAATATTAAAATGTTTCTTTCTGTATATAATGATTGTTAATTCATTTATATCAGCTTCATCGGAGGAAGTCCATTTAACTCCGGAATCATCGCCGGAGCTGACTAAGCGCTCCTGGTTCGGTTCCCTGCTGTTATCTGCCGACAAGGAGGAGACGTTCACCGCTCTGGTTAAGGGGAAACCCCTAGCGACTGTTAAAGCTGATCTCATACACGCCTTTTTAAGTGTAAGTGGCTTTGTTTGATAATTAACTCTAGTCATAATAGGAGGATTTTATTTTTCGTGTTTACATAATTTACAATTTTCAACTTTGACAATTTCTATAAAATTAATATAAAGATTTTTAAAAGCAATGAATTACTAAAAAGCCTGACCACAGCCACCCTTATTTTATATCAAAATAAACTAAAGAATTATGTCGTCGGAGTGAAAATAGTCACGTATTTCGCCTTCTTTATTTTCTTAATAATTTTTTACAGGTACCAAAATAATAATTATATATATTATTTGATAAAACCTATATTTTATTTAAAGAAAGATTCTGATGACTCGAATTATTTGTTACAGATAGCAGAGTTATCCCACAGTGTTTTAAGTCCTATGTCGTTTCGCGTTGAATACAAGAGAGGTTCTAACGCGCCGGCCATGTTCCAGAGACACGTTAGATTTCAGGTTAGTGCTATCACATTGTTTTTAATCCTTACAGGCAGCCGATGGACACTTCTAGAGAGTGTAATGATGAAAGGGACTTGGTAATGAGCCCAAGCTGTCATAAACACGCTTGGGATACGTTTTGACCTCACTGCACACAGGTCTTCTCAAATAGGGAGGATGGGCCATAAAACCCATCATGTAGGCCTTGCCCTGATTGCTGGGTGGAATATTATTTATTGCATAGCCAATTGTCAACACATATGTATATATGTGTAATATTATTTACAAAACCTGGAAAGCAGTTCAGAAGATCTTGAAATGGGGATGGGTGTGTTGGTTTACTAGAAATGTTTTAATGAAATATAATGGTTAAAGTACCTTTAAGTAAGAATAAGGGCCCTCATCATCTCGTTTTAAAAAAGTACTAGATGTTATTTCCAAAGGTTATTTTTCTTGTAATTGATTTTATTCTTTAATCTCTTGCTGATTAAGTCAAAATTGATTGCATAAATAATTTCGTTTGTGTCATTCTTAACGAATGAATGTTATTTAAATATTCTATATTGTTATATACTTTTTATATGCTGAATTATTCATTTAAACCTTCCCCATGAATCACTCTATATATTGATGAAAACTAAATTAAAATCCGTTGTGCATTTTGAAAGATGTCAGGGTACAGACAGCGTTAAACGACTTTGTTTCATACTATCAGTCAATAGCCATCATCTCAATTTTTCAGGTGGATATTTCGACAATAACCAAAGCGCCCGGTGAGAACGGAAAGGAGTATCTATATGCTATTACATTCACACTATTATCAGGTGAGTTGTATGAAACGTTTTACAAACAGGGACAACAATACACGGTTTCGTATTAACACGATTTACAAAAACGAATAAAATTTTCTTTAGCGATTATACTCAAATATAATTGCTAAAGAATATCCTATTAAATAAATGCTATTATACAGTGAATGAATATTTGAATGAACAGTTTTAGATAAAATGGAATGTCTGACCCTCTTTACATCTTTCTATATTGGCATGCCTATCAAGGTGCATGTGAATATTATTAACTGAAATTCATGTATTCAGTTTCGTAGTCACATGTATGCAATGCAATGAAATCAATGAATAAATAATGTTATCATACAGTAATTCAAAGAAAAGCCTCGTTTGCTGTGATAAAGTTTTTGTATAAACCACAAGTGTCAACTATATAATATAAACTAGCTTTTGCCCGCGACTTCGTCCGCGTGGTTAAGTTACTTTGAGCATCATTTCTAACGAATATTTATTCGTCGTTTCTTACGAATATATATAATATTTTCTTTATGCATGCAAAGTCTCAGCCCGATCGGTTTAAAATTAACAAAGTTTTGATACACACTTTCATTCCCTATTTTATCCCTTTGGAGGTAGAATTGATCAAAATCCTTTCTTAGCGGATGCGTACCTCATAACATCTACATACCTGCATACCAAATTTCAACGCGATCCGTCCAGTGGTTTGGGCTGTGCGTTGATAGATCACTATGTCAGTCGGTCACCTTTGAGTTATATATATTTTTATATGTCGTACGCTGAGAATGATAGTGACACAATGCATAAAATGCGATTTTGAGTAATGACCGTTTAAAGTTCAAGAAATTGTAATCAGCCCCTATAAACAACGTATCGTCACTATGCCACCTAGCAGTGTCTATGCAAGCTACGTTCATGAGGATCTTTGCATTTTAAAGTTTATACTTAACAAAGAAAAATGTTGCTAAAAGTAAAAAATACGTCGTTTTTGGTTAGTGACATTGTCATTGTCAAAGTGCGATGTTAGTCCAATAAATCGCATTAAGTATAAGCTTGCGTGGAAACTGCTAGGTGGCGTAGTGACGATACGTTGTTTAGACGGGCTGATTACAATTTCTTGAAGTTTAAACGCTCATTACTCAAAATCGCATTTTTTTCATTGTGTCACTATCGTTTTCAACGTGCGAAATGTACGCGCCCGTGCGCAGGCAACATCCGTCGGTTCCGGCGCGTGTGCGAGGTGGTGCAGGCGGCGGTGTGCCGCGCGCCCGGCGCACACCGCGCGCCCGCGCTGCACCCGCCCGAGCCGCGCGCGCGCCGCCGCGCACTGCCGCCGCCCAGAGGTATACGCGCACGCACGCACGCACGTACACGCACGCACGCACGCACGCACTCACGCACACACACACGTAGCAATATCAACACCAATATAATTATCAACGCCAATGTCATTATTAACTTCGATATCATTATCATCACCAATATCATTATCAACGTCAATATTTATTTATTTATTTAAGGTTTACCAACGTTTGTGTTCAATATTACATACATTCTAGTTACAATAAATTTTATGTTAAATAACTAATTGTAACAAACACTTATAGGTAAACACAACATGCACTAGAACATAGAGTAAGTAAGAAACTACACTTTTACACTAGACTATGGGAAAAGAAGTTACTTTATTATTTATACCAATTAATTATTTGAAAAAGAAAAACAAGATCAGACTATTATACGTATGTTAAAAAAAAATTAACTCCACAGTTCTAAAAAAGTCCTACGGATTTTTGAAAGTGAGTCGCGATAAATATCTATTGGGTTACTATATGTATTTACCAATTTACATATCCTACATATTGGTGAATTAGAACCGAGAACAGTTCTACGCAGTGGAACGCTTAGTGGAGTGACTCTGTTGCGAGGATATCTGAAGGGTACTCACAGTTTAATTTTCTCAAGCAGTTGAGGGCAAATTTCATGAGATAGTATTTTGGAAATAAAAAAAATATCAATTAGATCTCTACGGTTTTCCAAGGAAGTTACATTGAACTGTGATAGGCGGCTCTGGTACGAGGGCAGTTTCTTTTTAGATATACCAGAACAGTGTAAGAGATGCCATAAAAATCTTTTTTGAATTATTTCTAAACGCAAAGAATGTATTGCATAGTGTGGTCTGATAACACTCCCATACTCCACCATACTTCTCACTAGATTATTGAAGAGTAATGTCTTAGTTTTATATTTTCGAAAAACCTTACAATTACGGAGCACAAACCCCAACATACGAGAGGTCCGATTCATAATCGTAATATCATAATATCGATATCATAATAAACACTAATATAATTATCAACACTATTATTATTTTATAACTAAATGACCCGATGTATTAGGTATCAACTTTCACCGTTTAAACCTTCCCTGGACTACGACAAACATTTATAAATCAAAATCTGCTAAATTCGCCCAGCTGTTCAATTGATTCTTGAAGTACTTACACGAGATATAATTTTAATTCACTATCTACATTGATATTACAGGCTACATATAGCCTTACCCCAAAAAGCGCTGCGGTAATTATATACCTAGTGAAGTACTGCGATACTTTTGTCCCATACATACACGAATTATCTAATTTTTAAAATCTATCGCGATTCCTTTCAATTTGACATTTGTAAGATATAAAATAAACGATGTCATTAATTTGACGTTAATTGGAATTGTATGAGGCAATCGCTACACCTTTAAAAAGGGACTGTGCTAGATTTTGAAATTTGACAATTAGACCACAGGCTAGATCGAACGAATAGTCATTATCACCATCTGTAGAGGACACCGACCCACGCCGCGACGACAGCGCCGCCAACGGAAGAACGAAGCAACCTTCCCCTCCCGGAAGGAAAGGTTATTTCGGTACCCCCACTCCAATAAATCTTATTAGACTATCTGTTTATTCTATGATCTAAGTGCGGCAATGCAAATTGTAAATAAGAAATGGATTTATGTGCAATAAACACACACACCATCACACGGACTCACGGTTGTCACAGTTCTCCGATTGAAGAAGTGTTTCATTTCAAAGACCCAGCTCTTAACAAGCGTCGTTTTAACCACATCCCTTTGGAAATACTGTCCACTACCAACACCATCAGTTTATAAATACGTTACAATTACATTATTAAAATAACGCCATCTATTGCTATACAATGAGCAATGAATTCTATGTTCTACCTTATAATTTATTGTTATCTACAATCTCAGGTACTGGTGAAATACCAGACAGTCCGGAGACGCCTCATCAACAGTCGGATCACGACAGTGATTCATCAGTGTTCGACACCCACAAGAGTCCCAGTCATGCGTCCATAGAACAACTAGACCAGGTAAACTAAATAGTAATAATATATTAGCTCTGCACAATTTCTCTTTTAAGTACATATATTACCTGTATTAGGAGGCCACCGCTCTTCCAGTTGTATAACAGGAATATACTTATAAATGTTATGACAAAACATGGAAAGAAACAATAGCATTATTAACTCAGTAAGGAAAACAATATCAAGATTATTATTTAATGCTTATGCTACTAAGTGCGTGTGCATTTGTCAGTGTGTATGTATATGAGTGAGTGCCAGTATGTGTGTGCGTGTGTGTGTGAGGAAAAATGTGTTAATTCAAGATTGTTAATACATACTCCAATCTATAGCGTTATCGAATAGATTTTATTACGTCTTTCTGTCTCTGTATGATTCAGTGTCTTTAGCCAGTCAATTTATTTATTTATAAATGTCCTCAATTAGGGTTTCTTTACAGCGATAGTGATTCATATAGTTATAAAATAAAAAATCTAACATTAAAAAAATAACTTAACGAATAGGAATGAAGACCTGAAAATTTATTTGTCCGTCGGGTAATTTTTTGATTGACAATATTTAAAAACTAGCTGTTTCCCCGCGACGTTGTCCGTGTAAATTATAATTATTACTATTACAGTTATTATTTACAGTGAAATAATTTCATGATCGGATCAGTATTTCCGAAGATTACAAATTACAATTACGATACATAGATAAAGTACAATTTTTAATATTAAATTTAATGAATATTACATAATTGAATAAAAACAACAAATATAAACCTGATAATATTATATAATTTTCAGAACGGCACACATCCATTGGGGTCCAGCTCTTCTGTGACGAGTGGATCTAGTGGTTATAAGGTAATTATTATGCATTTATTGCCCTCGTAAGTCTGAATGGAATATAAGTAACATGGTCTTTTTTCAAGTACCGTCATTACATGTAATGAGTAGGCAGTTTATATATGTATCAGTCAATTTAAAGTATTGTAATGCTAAAAAGGAACTAAGAATACTGATAAGGGTATCATAAGGATAAATAGTTTTAAAATTCAACTCGTCTGTAAGTTCCAAGTAAGTTGTAGGTAGGATTCGAATATGAGACTTTTCGCAATTCGACTGCTTTAACCAACGAGCTAACCGAGACCAAAGGAGGCAGACGAATTTTCAAGCATTCGTTACTTTCGCTACTAGTGAGGGTATTTTCATCAATGTTCAGACAATTTGTTCACTTCTTAAATAAATAGTTTATAAATAGGATATGTCGCCTTGACATATTTACCGGCATTTGACGTCACAAATACCATATGGTCAGCGCCATTGCATATAGCATCGTTTTCAGCGCGATTTGGCTATTTAAACTTTAACAATTATTTTCATCGAAAATAGAATAGATGAAATTGTTTTAACCAGTTGCACAAACGTAGATTACATTTTTCATTAGTTAAAAGCGACATTACCCATACAAACTTGACATTCATTTAAGCTTCAAAATGCCATTAAACCTTAATGGACGTTTGTGCAACTGACCGAATTACAAATGTATCGAACAACCATTTAAAATAGTTTTCAGAAAGGCGTCAAATACCCTATTGCGAAATGTTATATTTTTTTTTTTTTGATAATTTCTATGTCTAAACATTACGATGTCTATTATTTTAAAGAGACTTTGTATACTCCTAGACAATTTATTCAGAACTAAAACAGTGTAGAAGTGTTGCCCGACGGATTTTAAAAGAAGTAATGGCAATGAATTATAAGATTAAGTAATTTTTTTTATATATATAAAAAAAATACACTTTAATTATCTTAAGTCTCATTTCATTTGAACTCCAGATTTCTATATATTTATTTTGTAATGTTTGTACTTAGTCATAGCTTACATTATTTATGGTAATGTAGGGTCGTGGCCTACATGATTTATCGATAGTGGGTAACTCTAATAGGGATGATCTCTGGGGAAAAAGGAAATTCTATATAATCCGTCAATCAGACCATAGAAAAATATATGATAAAAATTTAACACGATATAGCTTAGATAACTCGCTTTGTAGAAAATATACAAAAGCGTGAAGTCATATGACATTTTAAGTGGATGTATCCTAGTGATTTATTACACAAGATTAGCGAATATCTTTTGTACCATATAGCTTGTCTAGTAGTATACATAGACATCTATGGTTTCAACGTGAATGTTTTAGATAAGTATTGTAATGATGTAATGTCAGTCGTGCGATTATAGCAAACCGTACGTCGTCGCGCAGCCGAGCCCGGCTCCTCCTCCCTCGACCACGAGATCATGAGCTGCGGCCGAGATCTGCCCGGTGAATATACATACATACTATTACTGTACACACGCACAACACACACACACACACACACACCCACAAATACATACATTCACACACACAATTAGCTTCTGGACTATTTTAGAAAAAGTAATTTAAATCTTTCGAATCTTCATATCAAATGACTATCAGATTAACTTTTTTCTAAAGTGTTATAAAATACCGTAAATATATATATTTTTATTAATTAAACTGATATTGTTCCGCGAAAACAATCGGTCACGTGACATTGTGAAACTTGACGTCACATTACAATGAACATAGTACTGTTTGCACTTGCAAAAATATGTCGACGTTAAGTTTATTAAAATATGACGACACAATGCTTTTTTATGGTTCTCGTAATCCACAGATTATAAATCTCAGGTTAATTTAGTATAAATATGATAAATTACAATTTATTTTAAACAAAAAATTACTATCAGAAATTACCGTTTCCGCCAAATTTTTATAATTAATAACTCGCAAGTAACCAATTGTAATACTAAATAGGGTGCTAACAAATTAGGTATATATTTTTACAGCTGATAGTACTAAGCTCTCAGAATATGGATAAGTATAAAATATATATACTTATCCATACTCTGAGAGAATAGATAAGTATATATATCTATATATATAGACTTTATGAGAGGGAAATAAATTAACTACTTATTTTTGGATTGTGGACCCTCTTTTAACTATATCGTAACTGACCACTCCTTCCAATCATTGAATACTAATGTCTGTTATTTGTATCATAATGATACAAACATCTTGTCGGTAAAATCACAAAAGGATTATTCTTAGACAGAATTGCATTTATTTTCTTTGGTATTTTTCTTAATCTATATTTAAAATTAAATGTTTAATGAAATGTACAACCTTTTAAGATATTTAAAAACTAATTTGTTAGCGTCCGATAGACTGTTAATGCAATTGAATTTATAGAGTATATTTTCTCCTCTATAATTGCTCTTAAACAATTATATTTTGATATTTTAAAGGAATTCACGCTAAGCGTTCATCGTCTGAATGCCGCGAGGCCACATCGTCGCCCAGACGCGGTCTCGATTCTCGAGACAATTCGATCAAAGACGAGTTGCGGAGAAACAATTCCTTACGCGAGAATAGACGCGATGTCCTCAGGGATAGAGACGCGGTACCCACCACGTCCATTGCGTGAGACTGAGAATACACCCCTGTGTGGACAATTGTTACTATGCTGTGGTTTTCTAAAGCCCACGGCGGAGGGCTACTCCCGTTTCTAGGAGATTTTCAAACATGGAATTGGCTTGTTTCCTCATAATTTGAAGATTTTTGATACACTTAATAAATACTCTTCGATGCGATATTGTACAATTAACAATTGTGTTGATGTTGATTTTAAAATAATTCGAAATTAGAACGGCGTTGTGTTGATGTTGCAGTTTTTTTTTTTAATGTGTCAATCTGAAACAAGGATTTAAATTTCGCTTCCGAAATTTAAGGAAGCGAAATTTAAATCTTTAGTGTTTTTTTTTTATTATTGTCTTAGACGAATTATTGGCTTCCATTTTGTCTTTTTATTAAGCCGAAGCATTTGACATCTAAATGGTTTGACATTGCAAAGTTTTATAAAAAAAGACTTCTCTTTACCATATAATTGCAATGTAAAATTATTTATTAATCAATATTTGAATATAAATAACAAAAATAAATAAACGCGCCCAACAAAATAGTGAATGATTTTTATAATTATACATATAGCTGTATCTAGTAAGCTTAAAATGTGTGTTAATAATATTCATTATTAAAAAAATGGTATATAAAAATTTGAAACCGGCCATGTAATGTAATTAAAAAATGCTACCCATGTACTGATTTTTCGCTGTGTAAGGTAAGGCCTGAGAATAAGTTGTATTTTTGCAAAAAAAAGTATGATATATTATTATACTATATATAGTATGAAGTATTAAAAATATTATGTATGTATGCTGTAACGAGACCCTTTCATGTAACTGCCATGTTATATATTTACTAAGGAAATTGTAGATTTCGTGGGTGTAATTAGATTTTAACATAAGTTTTTAAGTGTTTCGCAAAATGACTAGTCATTATATATAATGACAATTTCAGCAGGAACTTATGAAATGTGTTATAATTATTATATTTATATTCAGTATGTAGAGTACATGTATAAGTTAATCAAAATTATATATTATCGAGTGGTAATAGTAATATGTAACTCCGTATTCGGTAGTTCGGTCGATAATAAGGTAAGATGTTGGTAAATATGTAAAGAAAACACTCGCTTTATTAAATAATTAATTAATTAAACAATAATATCTTAAAAATGAATGAAAAATTTGTCATTAATTCTCGAGTTAGCAATTTTTATTTATATTTTTTTATCTACTTGTGAGTCTCTGATTGATATTTCAACATTTTTTATTATTCATAGATTTTTTGTCGATTGTACCTCAGTCAGTCCTTCTAAAACTATTAACACATGTTTGAAATCAGTTACACCCACATGAAACGCGTAGTGTATATAGACTGCACTGCTAGTTTTATTTGTTAATGTTATATTTATTTTTATGAACTTTCAATAGGTAAGTACTGATATTTATTTTGGATGCAATTGGATCAAGAATATTAATTGAAATGTTTGGTATGAGTTCTGTTATTAGGAAAATTTAAATTAAATAACAATTACAATTAAATAATAGTACGCATGTGCTAGAGAGTTGTCACGTCAGGCTCGATTGAGGTCTTTGCAAATTACATTAACATTCACACCCACTAATTCACGTCACAGTATAATTGCAGGATAGTCCACACGCAAAGTTTGGTATTTATGAATAAGAAAAATTAATATTAGATATTATCAGTAATGCTGTACTTGTTTATTTCCAAAGAAGTATTACTCTGGATGTAATTCAAAACAAACAACGTTGATTTCGAAATGAAATATCAGACTAATGTTATGTGGATGTAATGTGCGAAGACCTTTATAAATCGAACAAAATGAATGAAACTTGGAAGTCTAGTAATTCAAGTAACATTTTATAAAGGTCTAAGATATAATTGTAAATCTTATGCGCGCAAAATCCAATTTTGTTATGGATACAGCGCATTTAAAATGGCGAATGTTGTTTGTTGATGGTTTTTTTTTAAACACATAATGCACTGCAATTACCATGACTTGATTCTAATTTAAAAGCCACTCGAATTTCTTGACTTCCAATCTATCAAAATATGTATTTATTATATTGTTGATTGTATTTAAATTGAGTTTTTGATGTAAATAGCTATAGACAATGTGTGATTTAGTGAAGTTCAATATAGTATGAATGCGCCACGAACGCACATGAGTGATCTATTTGTATATAGATAGTAAAGCGAAATATGAAATCATAAGAAGTGTTTGAATTGTGAAAAAAAATCTAATATCGGCTTTGGTGCAATTCGTCAAATTACATACTTTCAATAATGTAGTGAAAAAAAAATACGGCAGTCATATAATTATTTAACCATTAACTTTAAATTTTTTTATATTATTTTAAAGATGATGAAAGTTTATGATTCGGTAGTATCAAAGCACGTTTTTTACAGTTATGCCAAACGGGTGATGAATTAGTAAGTACATATTGTCTATTAATTTTTTGATTCGTCAAAGGTACTAACCACACATTTTTTGGTATACAAATCATCTGACAACATTAGTGGTGTGAAAATCTCTGTTCGAAATTGACTAGACAAAATAGACTAAAACAGAGGTCTGTTTTAGTCTAAACACAGGAGACGGCACTAATATGACGCCATTTAAGTTAACCTGTTAATGCCAGAGTTTTCACTATTTCTTTTTCCATAAAATGTCACCATGTTGTTCTTGCGTGTGTAATAAGAAATTGTTGTAATACAAAATGGTATTTATTTACTTTTTTTTTATTTTTGTGTAGATAGGTAATTTGTATAAAAATTCGTGAAGTGCTTTTGTATGATACTTATGGAGATATGTTTGAAGTGCACAGGATGCTTGGCTTCTTTATTGTTTTTTTTTTTTCATTCATGCGTCAGTTTTTTAGTGTCGGCGGATCATCAAATTGTATCAATCGATCTATTTTTTTATTAACAGTTTTCTTTAATACTATAAATACATTGTGATATGTTTGTTATTGTGTTTTGATTATAGCAAAAGGTACTTTATTTCATATCATTATAACATAGTGTTGATATTTTTTTTTTACGATTATCCTAACAAAAATGGTTAACATCCAACATCTCCTAGATGCAAATCCATATCGGCACTTTTTTTTTGTTGAATAACTTGTACTTGCATCGAAATGTTGATATTAATATGGACCTTCCCGGGATTTCTTTATTTCTTCTTTCTTTCATTGATGTAAGTTTGGCAACGTCGTGCGTGCAGTAGTTTAAATTGTGTAAAAGTAAAAAAAAAATCACGGGATTTTTTCTGCTCTTTAAAATTAATCTCGGGATTTGAGGCATATCCACTTTATTCTTTCGCTGTATGAAATCAGTGTAAGTACATGAATAACTCTACCTAATTCCGACCACTGATAATAACACATATAATCGTATTTACATAGTATCATATTATCCATTGTGATACTGCCGCACACGACAAATCTATTTGAAATAATTAAAAGTCTTCATCAGCCATTTTATGTCTGTAACACTTATTTGAAAACGTAATACTTTCAATAACCGCTTATTTCAATAAAACTTCTAAAAACTATCAATATCACACGGTGGTTGTTCTGAATTGAGCAGCTGAATGAAGTGAACAATACAAGAACTGTGCAACTGCGGAATAATACATTTTGGGCATCATATGATACTGGGATTACTTAAAGGTGATCTTAACCTCATAATCGGACTAGAGTTTTGTTTCTCACCTTTACTTGTAACCTTTTTTATTTAAAATCTTTAGTGCCAGATATTTAAAATGTACCTCTTGCCAGATTCAAACACATTAACATGATAAAGGTAGGTGCTAAGTTTTGAAATAAATGTTATATTTGTGTTCAATGAATTACTTGTCGATTGTTTTCGTCAAATTATGTTATTTGTTTTACTGATATTATTAAATAATTTAATCATACATATATTATTTTATGTATAAAGTTTTATTCATTACTGCGATTTACAAATAAATATTGGCCAAAGCCTGGTAAAATAATAATTTCCCTTTTATATAATTTTGTAGTATCACTAATGTTTTGATATATTCATACGACCTGATAACTGACATATCACGGAATAATGTTATTTCGTTGTGTAAATGCAAAAAAATAGATATATTATTAAATATTATATCCAAAGTGAATGAGTCGCGACATAATTTCAGCGTTCAGTCATTTTATAAAATGACTAGACATATTTTGGAAATATACAAAAATTAGATACTTCAATACCATAAAATAATATAAAAAGACAATGATCTTTTCACAATATGCCTAGTTGTTGCAATAAAAATATTAGTTTATTATACATATGACCCTATAATATCAGTTCAATAATATGTCACAAGTAAACAGCTGTAATTAGAAATTTTTAATTTAAATAAACTATGTATGTATTTATAAATTGCAATTAAATAAAATAATAGTTCATATAAATGCCTTCACAGATAAATGTATCATTAAAATGAGAAGCATAATATTATATTTTAAATTAATATTATTATAATAAACAAAGCGAGAAATGAAATGTAATTTTGTACTCAGGATAATTTTAAGCATTCCATTCTACATTGTACTTTTTCACCACGTTCGAACTTGTATATTTCTGCAAAGTTAATCTTCGTATTTCTTTTACATATTCTTATATGTTCAGAGAAAAAAAGATTTTATTGATTTATTTTCCAAATTCATGGTCAGCGGAATTAGATGGTCAGATTGTCAGATTAGATGGTCAGCGGAGCCTGTTCCCACAGGTCAGGCCTTGCCTAGTATATCACAAATTTGTAAATGTTATCTTGGGAAATAAATATTATACGGAATTTAGTAATGATAATAATTTTTCTAAATCAGACATTAGGGTTGATTGGGCATGATCGATATGTTTATTAAAATGGTATATTTATGTTTTACGATTTAAGTTCAAATGTATTAGTAAACAAACTTTGACAGGACCTTTCGAAACTATCGCGCCATCTGGTGAGCGAAAATACGGTAG